GTAACTCACCTTCTGTTGTTTAAGGGGAAAATGATGAAGAGTCATGGGAGGACCATTTTTTCAAAATACTAGAGGACATGTATCCCATTATGCCCCCTGATTTGATCAAGTAAGCCCTCCTTTTTTTTTTTTGGTTGCATATATTGAATATTTTTGTTCTTAGCATCTCACTCAGTGGTTTTACAGTGATATGTGGTTTGAAGAAAAGACATGGGATGATTTCAAAAAAGATGTTGATTTACTATATCAACTTGATTTGGTAAGTCCCTATCTATGAGTTTAATTACTCATAGAATTTAGTTTATATCCAACTTTGTTTGTTGCAGAAATGGCTGGAAGACAAAAGTTTTTACACAACTTTGGAAGAGGCTTTGAACAAGGTGGTCAAAGCCCAGGAATCAGAGATCCACCACCTTATACTTAATGACAAAATCGTTCAAGCTTTGGAAGATGATGTTGTGTGAGTTTCTTTTTCCTTCTTCCCTCGTTATTTATGGTTTTAGGACTTATTTGATAAAAAAGGATAATTAATTTTAAAATTAAATTTAATATCATATTTGATTGGAATAAAATTATGATAAACTAATCCGGAATTAATTACGACGGGATTGTAATAATTTTTTATGTCCGTAAAAGGGTATGATAATGGACAACTTTATAATAAGTTGAGTATGACATGTGTCATTTCCTCAAGCAAAATAGTAGAGGGTGAACGTGTTTTCTTCATGTTTTCTATCCAGTATCATTTATAGTTATCCCGTAACATTCATTTTTCCAGTTCTATGATGCTCTACTTCTTTTACAACACAAAGCTGAAACATCTTGTGTGCGTCAAAATTGGAAGGTTCAGGTAAAATACTTTTGCATATCTAAACGTTATTTCCACATTTTATCTTGTCCTTTTTGTAAGTCAAGTTTCTGTTCTTTCCAGAAATAAGAAATCTGCCATCGATGAAGATGAAGAGCCGAAGAGGACCATGGAAATGGGGATGACTCCAACTAGAGATCTGATATAGCCCCTGGTTACACTGTGATGCCGTTCCTAGTTGAATACTCCAAATGTCAACTCTCCCAAAGCATTTTCTGCAGCTTTTAGTCAACCCCTTCTTATCCATCTATTTTCCTTTCTATAAATGGCAGCAAAGGGGTTCAAGTGGCCCTTTTTCTATTATCAGTGTTTGTACCTATAAAAAAGTGAGCATATTAAGAGGAAAGAAGATGTTAATACTGGGTATAAGCTTGCAGTATTTGATGAACTTGATGGTTGCTGGTGCTTCACTCATGATTGGGTTGGGATTTTTTGCTTTCAGTGCTTCTATTCTCTGCTCTGCTTGTTTCTTCATGAATGTCAAGGAACTTTCTTCAATTTCCTTTTTGGGAATTTAGGTATCTTTCTCTATCTCCATTGCTTTTCTTTTTGGCTTTTTGATTTTACAAGTGTTCCTTGACCCCGTTAGTGGGTTTTTAGTGGTTTTTTGTTGTTGTATTTTCCTAAGTGTTGTTGTTCTGGGTCTTTCTAAGATTCTGTTTTTTTTCTTTTTTGAGGTTTAGCTTGCAATTAGAGAGATTTGGTTTTGTAGTACATTACAAATGTTATTTTAGTTAAACGACCATTTTCACATGAGATCAGTAAAAGCTTACACAAAAGATATGTTAATAATTCAGAAGAGCTTTGTGGAGTCATTTTCTTCGCTTTAAATTTTAAGTGCGCATGAGAGATCATTTTCTCTTGCGAATTGTTTGTGTCAATGGTGTGATTTGTTCTTATTATGATGAATTTTATGGAAAGATTTATCTTTTTACATTTCCTTGTTTCCTGGTGTTCTACTTGATGAGTATTGAGTAAGAGTGGGTCAATATTCGAGGGGTATGTTTCAGATTTTGAAGTTATTCTTATGTCTTTACCTATTTTATGGGGGTAATAGATTAATTGGTCCGCTCTTCCTACTAAAATAGTTTAGAATTAGGTAATTGGTTAGCTACTTTGTTCTAACAATATGTGTTGAAGGTGGTATTCAACAAGGATCAAGATTAAAATGCACTTTCAGAAGCTAGGCTTGAAATGGCCGTAGAAATTAGCCTATTAGGTGAATTAGTCAAGGTGCGCCGCACAAGCTGGCCTAGAAACCATCATCATTAAAAAAAGATTTAGAAACTATATAAAAACACTACAAATTTAAAACTTTTGCATTATGTAATGTATAATTCTTGAAAATGTTTGGTGAAAAGATCAGTTAGTTTGATTCTTATGAATCAGAAAGTGATAATCCCTTGGACAAAGGGAAAATGCTTTATTCAACACTTTGGTTGAAGGTAACATTCATACCATTGGAAGTGCGTTGGTTGAATATTGTCTTTTACCATACCTTCTTTGTCTTTAATTGCAACATGTTATCCAACATTGTAGGATCCTCTCAAACTCCAATACAGTAGCATTTTGATCTTTGTTTTACCTTGACAGTTTAGATAATTCATTTCCTTATCCGAAAGCCAGTTGAAAGTAAGTGTCTCCAACACATTGTCGTCATGTTTACTAAGGTTCAAGATGCTATTAGAATGAAAGTAAATGTACAGTGAGAGATACAAGACTCTCTGCTTCACCCTAACTGCAAAAGTTTATCAGTATATATAACATCATAAAAAAATGACACATCAGGTTATCTTTGACAAACCAATGTAACATACTATTTCTTCTATTTGGTGTCTGTGACCTTGTCTCATGAAGTTTATGCCTGCCATGATATGAATATAGTAGCAAATGTTTTACCTACTAAATAGTAGTAATATACAACTCATTTTGTTGTGCTCAACATTTCTACCAATCATAGTATCATATTCCTACCAAATACCTTCTTCCTTTATCACTGCAAAGGCCTTGAGATTATGTTGATACTATAAGAAGCTAAATACAATTTAAGACAGTAGAAAGACAATCAAACTCGTTTGAAGTGGCTTAAACTTAAAATAGTTCCATCATTTTAGGTTGCAACTGTAACTTTCTCAAGCTTAGAAACATGACATCAGAATCATCACAAAACGTTCATACAGTTTAGTCTCCTTATCATTACTTTATATTACAAGTTGACCAACTTGTATGCATGTCCAAAATCCAAGATCTTAAAATCCCAGAAAAAGGTAAAGCTTTCTTTTAGCCATGAAACCTCCAAGATTTCCCCCTTGTCAGTATCCCTTGGATCTTAAGCTGCTTACATATTACTCCTAGTATGTTTCTAACATCCATTTTTGTTTATATTTGGCACTGATTCATCAAAATTTGCACTTCACCGCACTGCAGTTACTTATATATTCATCAATCAATCAATTAACAACGTCTCAATCTTAAACTAATTAGCTCTATTATGTTCCAAGGTTTCACCATATTTAGACTATTTTTAAATTGACCATCCATGCAAGCAATCCTCTTTAAAGAAAAGAAAAGAGTAAAACTAACCAACAAGGAAATGTCCAAATAACAGTATTAGCCTTTTAATACAGCTTACCATAAAAGGGAAAATCAAATAAAAAACACAATTTAAGACCAAGTAAAATAAAATGAAACCTTAAAAGAACACTGCAAGTAGAAGGAACTAAAATGGGCCTTTTAACACTCTTTATTTTGAGCCACGATATCACAGGCCCAAAATTCCATTTTCAGCTCTGAATTTGAAGCTTTTGAAGCTAAATAGCGCCAAAAAGGACAAATTTTTATGTGACAGATTTTTTCAGTTAATCTCTTTTCTTATCCCTCTAGTCAGTAACCTTTTAGTAGCATAATTGAAACTTCAGCAAAAAGAATAAATGGGTTGTTCTTTGAATCATTTACCTACAATTATATTAAAAAATGGATCAGTACACAGATGAAAGGGTATCTGGTTCTTTGTTGAACACAAGAGCTATGGCTAAAGAATTGTACTTTAACCATGATGGTTCTACCACAAAGAAACTTCTGGCCATTATGTTTTTTTTTGTGCTTTTGTTATGTTTAGTTTGGTTTTCAAGATTTTGAGTNTTTTTTTTTTTTTTTTTTTTTTTTTTGGGGTGCTTTTGTTATGTTTTGTTTGGTTTTCAAGATTTTGAGTTGGGTAAAAATTTTGTGCAGGGCAGGTGTGGATTTGGTGGCAGAGCTGGTTGGAATGAGATTGGGTCCAAAAGGAAGGAATGTAGTGCTTAGAAATAAATATGGTCCTCCCAACATAATTATGGCGAAATTGTTCTTAAAGAGGTACATCACAAGCATTAACAAAAGGGCAGTCGAGTGCACTAAGCAGTAAGCTACTGCTATTGGGGGGAGGGGGTCCCGGCTAGGGCCAGACCACGTTGGGTCATATGTATGTAACCTTATCTTGTATTTCTGCAACAAACTGTTTCCGCGACTTGAACCCGTGACCTCTTGGTCACACGGCGAACTACCATTGTGCTAAGGCTCCCCTTCACATTACAAGCATTAACAACATTGTTAGATGTTTAAATTTTATAGGCCTCTGGTATTATTTGGTAGGGTAATGTGTACGCAGACCAAAGAGGTCTTGTATTATTTGGTGTTTAAAAAAAAAGGTTGGAATTCCATGTTACTTGGAATATGTAAATCAAAAGCTATTCCAATGGTGTCAATATATAGAATTAAAGTAAATTGGAAGAATGATGTCTAAAGCAGTGGCGGAGCAAAGTGTCGGCAAGGGATTCAATTGAATTCCCTTTGCCGAAAACTATACTACGCAAATAGGGTAAAAATAATTTTTTTATGCATAAACTGTTGAATTCCCTTGACATTATAGAAGATTCTAGTGTAGTGGTAAAAGGGGTTCAAAAATTCTTTTGTATCATAGGTTCAAGTCCTAGGAGTGAAAGTTTTTTTTTTCAATCTCCTTGTACGTATTTCTGGCTCCGCCACTGGTCTAAGATGTCACCATTAAAGGAGCTTTTATGTTGTGTATGGTTCAAAATGGAGAGGAAACTAGAATCATAGATTGTTATGTGTGCCTCTTTCATACTTGTGTAAATTGGTAAATCATATTGTGATTCCTTCTCAAAGTAGTTTAATGGTTGTAAATTTCTTGTTTCCTGTTGGACAATTTGGTTGCTTTTGACTTCTGAGGATAGAGAAAGGAATTATTAGAGTTGTCAATATTCAGGGTTTAAATTTGTCTTCAGGTCTATGGAATTATAGAATTCCACCTTAAAAGATCACTTCATTCTGCGTAGTGGAAGTTACTTCTGTTTGTTTGAGTTTTCATGTGTAACAAGTCTTCTCTTGACACTTTCTGAGGCCTACAGTCTACAGTTGACGTTTCTTCCATCCTCCTACTTGTTCTGCTTTTTCCAGCAATTCTATTTTTTGTCATTTCTGGAACTTAATAGGGAACTCTTAGTTAATTGTCCTTGTTCTTTTACATTTTTCCATTAATGTGATTCACATTCTAAGCCTGACTTGGATTACGATATAAACCAGTTATATAAGCAAAAAGTTGAAAATTAATTGTATAAAGTATATCCTTGTAGAAATCGTACATAGATACATTTGAATGCTGATGAAAGATAGCTAAAAGTGTTTCTAATAGTAAAGTAATGAGCTGCATGCACGTCTTCTATCAAATTTAGCCTGTCAGATAAAATCAGGTTTTTGAGCTTCTCGGATTCAACTTACTTTCAAATTCAATGGAGTAGGTGGTCATTCGTCTTCTTACTTTTCCACCTTAAGATAATGTATTGAATATATCCATTTGTTTTCAGTACAGATCCATCTGGACAATCCTTTGGAAAATGTCAAGAGTAAAATTGGTTAGGGAAGCTGGTGCCAAGACTAATAATCTTGCTGGTGATGGTTGCACAACATCTATAGTGCTTGCTCGTGATCTGGTTGCTGAAGGTGCCAAGGGTTGAAGGGAATGGAATAACCTATAGACATCTCTTTTTTAGATAAAAACAGCTTTCTTGTTTTGGTTATAATTGTGTTTAGTCATTATCTTTCTCTAGGTTACTGCGACGGGAGCAAATGTTGTCCAAGTGTGAGAGAACTGCCAAAGCCCTTATTTCTGAGCTCAAGTTGATGTCTAGAGAGGTATAAGGAAGGAAAAATTACTCTGCGTTTTTGCTTTAGGCAGAGAAACAGAATTGTTTGGCCAAGATATATGTTTAAAAATCAGCTTTCTTATCTAAGATGCATGAGGTTGTACTATCTTCAACATATCGGCTGACAATCATTAAACCTTGCAGGTTGAGGATCACGAGCTGGAAGATGTTGCTGGTGTTAGTGCTGGCAATGATTATGCCATCGGGAACATGATCTCGGAAGCTCTAAGACAGGTTGGGAGAAAAGGTGTTGTCACAATTGAGAAAGGGAACTATACTGAAACCAGTCTAGAAGTTGTAGAAGGTATGCAGTTTGATGGTGGCTAATTATCACCTTATTTTGTAATTGATCGACGAAAGAAGACTGTGGAGCTTCACAGGTGTAAGGTAGCAACTTATTTTGTCAAGCACTAGGCCTGTTGTATTAAGGCATAATGTTTTTTTTTTTGTTGCAGTAGCTTTGGTTGATAAAAAGATTACAAACCAAAGGACAATGCAGTAAAGGAGAAAAACCTGGTTTTGATAGTCGCAGAGCGCATTGACCAGAACACTCTGGCTCCAGTAAGTAGGAACAAACTCAGTTGTCCTAAAGGTAGCTGCTATAAAAGCTCCATCTTTTGGGGAGTGCAAGAGTCAAGAGCCATTGCTTAGATGAATCGCTATCTTGACTCGAGGTACTAAAATATGCATAGTAAAACAGAGTTTGGTAGTTGGTTATGTCTACAACCTCGTTTCTAAGTCTCTCTAGAGCCATCAATCATTGAACCCTGGTGTAATGGGTTTTGAAGAGATGTTATGACTCAAAGCTTCAAACTTCATGTAATGAACCGACAGTATTGTTAGAGGTCAGAAACCCCATCACTACGAAGGTCAGAAATGCATACAATGTTTAATCTAATAGACGTAACATGAGACAAATTTGGAAAAAAGTGAGATTGCAACCAGCGTGCGAACAGTTACATTTCATCATAGATCAACCAATGAGACACGAAACAATTACACTGGACGTCACTGTTATTCCCGCCAATATTGCTGTATTTGTAAATAATAATTCTGCAAAATAAAAGTTAACGTAATGAAACAATTATAAATTCGAGCCCACTGAATTCACAGTGTTTCATTAAGGAATTTAATCCCCTCCTAGTACCC